GTCCCGCCTCCTGACGGCTGCTCGAGCCAATCAGAGCCTCTCTTCCACCTCCTTAGCGCGGACCCGACCAATCGCGGCTTGGCATCTGATGAGCTTAACCCCGCATCCGGTGGGGAGTGGAATCAACCAATCAGAGCCCCATGTCCGCCTCAGCGCACAAAATTTAAGCCAATCAGCCCCCGGGCTCCTCCCACATGGCCCTAAGGGGCCAATCATAAACTGGGATCGGGGGGGCGGGCTGAGAGTGACTGGCAGGGATTGAGACCAATGGGAGGGAGAGATGCCCTAGCGGCCTAAAGGATGGAGCCTGAGGGGAAAACAGGCAGGGGGAAGGTGGGTCTTGTTTGATCCCCCCCCTCCCCGCCCCAAATGGAAGCTACGAGTCCTGGCTCTCCTCCCCCCCCCAGAACCCAGGAGTCCTGGCTCCCAGCCCCCCCTCCCCCGCCCCCCGAGAACCCAGGAGTCCTGGCTCCCAGCCCCCCTGTCACGGACTCACAGATCGTGCCCACTCTTGGCCCTGTGCGGTCCATGGGGGGAGCCCCTTCCAGGGCGACAGCCCTTCTCGGGGTCCACTCTCTCCCGGGGTCAGGCCCCCTCCACCTCCTGGAGCCGCACCTCTCTGAGCCTTAGCACATCTGTATCTGCCGTGGGCCCCCTCAGGGAGTCCACTCGCTCTGGACCCCTGGGGCCTCCACCCCCCGAAGGGGACGATGCCCCCCACCCCCACCCCCGCCCTGTTCTCTAGACCGGAGCGACTCTCAGCCAGCGTCACACAGGAGGTTTATTGAGTGTTGAACCCAGCACAGGAAACTCTCAGGGCCTCAGGCCTGGCCTCCCTCAGCCCAGCACATCCCAGTCTCCCTGCATCCAGGTGGGCTCTGCCTGCTCCCCCTCTCCAGCCCAGAGCCCCCCTGCTTCCCAGCTGGGCATCTGATACCCCCGGCCCCAAGCCCGGCCTCTGGCCATTGTCTTCTCTCCACGGAAACAGGGTCACCTCGGCCTCCTCTCCCCTCTTCTGTCCTCTGGCTGGACCCGGCTGGTCAGGTCACCGGGGTCCTCTCTCCGCAGCCCTTTGTCCTCCCACTGGCCAGACCCAGCTGCGACTCCTGAGCTGGGTCTCTGGGTCGTCAGGTCACCAGTCGCTGGGGTGTCCATCCCCCAGGCCATCAGCTGAGGTCCCAAGTTCCCTGTCTGGTCCTCTGTAACCACAAACTCCCTCTCCCCTCACCTCGTTAAACCAGTAACATCCAGGGAAACTGAGTCCCACCCCCTCTGCATGCAACCCATTGGAAAAACAAGGAAAAAACAAGACAATCCCCCACTCCCTCCCCCCCCCCTCTACCCACTAGCCCCCCCGAGAACCCAGGAGTCCTGGCTCCCCCCGCCAACCACTAGCCCCACAGAGTCTGCCGCTGTGACGAAGTAGGTCTGTTCTTAGTGTTTCCTCTGAATACTGTGTGAGTGCCTCAGTTCCCCCTATGCAGTTCTTAAGTCTCTAGGTGGTGGGATAAGGGGGTGTAATTGTTGCAGAGCAAAGGGCCAGTGTACATAAATGGCCGACACTCTGTCTCCTGGCAACTGATGGCCTGGGCCCTTCCCCCCTGCAAGGTGATAGCTAGAGGTGTTGGAGAACAAAGGAATCAGGTGACAAAGCCCAGAGGAGGAGGGGCTGGAGGGTGAGTCAGTTTGGAGCTGGCTGGGGACGTGGAATGAGTGCAGACATGGGTGTCTGGTTCCCTGCCCCCCGAAATGGACCCGACTGAGGGGTCGTGTTCTCTGTACCTACAAGCTCTGTTCTACTCTGTGTTCCTGTCGTTTAATAAACCTCTGTTTTATGCTGGCTCAGAGTCACGTCTGACTGCGGAGTCGGGGGGCAGGGCCCTCTGGCTTCCCCAGGACCCCGCCTGGGCGAACTCGCTGCGGGAAGCGCACGGTGGGGCAGGGGATGCTGGATGCTCCGGGGTCAGACCCAGGAAGGTGAAGCCGTGTGAGCTTCTTGCCCTGGAGACAGTCTGCTCCGAGAGAGGAGGCTCCCCCAGAGTCCTGCCTGGCTTCGTAGGGAGCAGCTCCAGAGCATCGCCCAGGGACTCCAAGACAACTGGTGGTAGCGGTGGGATGTACTGCACCCCTGTGGACAGCGCTTCCTGGAGTAAGTGACTGGGGAGCAGTAAAACGAACGGGGGATACTGAGGACCAGGTGTGCTGAAGGCTTAGAGAGGGACAGTTTTCAGGGGACGGTTAACCCCTGGGAGTGTGTGACCAGTGAGAAGGACTTTTGCAGTGACAGGGTTCCCCTGGGGATTGCAGCGAGCGGTCCCAGGGGTGGAGGAGTCTGCAGCTCGACCCTGGCAAAGAGGTGGTGACCTGGAGAAGGGCTCACACACTAGGGGTTCTTCCTGGAAACCGTGTGGGAGCTGAGAGCACACAGGCTTGTGAGTCCACAGCAACTTTGGTACAGTGAAGTGATGGCCTATCACCATCTCCTCGAGAAGGACATTGTAATCCTGTGTAAAAAGAGAGGGTTATGCATTGGGAAGTTCACCAAGGCCCAGTTAATCGTGCAACTGGAGGACGAGGACCGCTCTAAGGAGCAGATTCCTGACCCAGACGGGGCTACAAGAGGATCTGGAAGCAGCAGGAGCAGTAGCCAGGCATCCCCAAGACTCCTGTCCCCGACCAGACAGGGGTCTTCACGATCGGGTTCCCCATCGGGGGATCGGAGATGGATGGGATTAGAGCTGAGTCCGAGAGAGTGAGAGGACCGTGAGAGACAGCAAGAGCCCGAGAAAGAGCTGCAGGAGAAGCAGCAGCAGCATGGACTGGCGATGGTGGAGTGGAGAGGCATAGGGGGCTTCCCAGGGGTGAGTGGGGATAGACCCTGGGGTGCCAGCTCTGCAGGGAACCTCGATACTAAATTGCTGCCCCTGGTTAAGGAGGGAGGGATGTGGATGCCCACCGCACGGCCTTCACGCAGGCGGGTGATTTGAACCAGGGGGACCCTGCGGAAAAGCCTCGGTATCTAGCTCCCTTGCTGGGTCCCAAGGCCATAGACGCTGTCAGCCAGATGGGTGGGGTGGTGGACAGGCTCCCACTCCTGGCCCTGGCTTATATGTCTGCGTGGAGTATCCTGGGCTCAGGCCCCTCGGACCCCCAGTGGGAGCAGAAGGTGGGGGTCAATGGGGAGACGTTCCAGGGGTGGCGAGACCCTGGGACAGAGAGAACTGTTGTCGGGCCCCGGGTGGTGCAGCCGCAGGTGCTGAGGGGCTGTGTGACCTGGGTGAAGGTCCTCGGGATGAAGCCCCTCGCTCTGCCTATGGCCCGGATCCCTGTGCAGACCCAGGAGGGGTCGGGCTGGCTGGTTGTTGGGGTTCTCCAGGATATCGGCTGTGAGGTCCTGTTGGGGGGTGACTGTGTCTCTTTGGGACAGGATCCAGGCCCTGCTCCTCTGACGGCCGAGGGTTTGAATTTGAATCCAGGGAACCAATCGGCTGAGACTAAGCGGTCAGTGAAAATGCAAATGACCTGGCTGGCAGGAGGGAGGGGCTGCTGGGCTCAGGATACCTGCCTGTCTGTCACCAGACCCCCGGGGCTGAGTGGGAGGGAGAGATGCTCCCTGCCCCCCTGCACACCGGAGAGGGGGCTCACGCTGGCTCTGATGCTGTGACCAGAGCAGAGAGTTCGCTGCCTGCCCCCACTGGGACAGCCTGGGCAGCGCTGAGCACAGTGGGAGCTGGGACCCCAGCTGAGTGGGGGGACACCCAGGCAGGGCAGGTCGGCTGCCAACCAGGTTTGCCTGGTCCAGACGTGCTGCTGGGAAGTGATTCCATGGCAGGGAGGGGGCTCTGGATATAGTGGGGCCCCCCAGCAAGGCGATCCGGTTGGGGAAGAAATGCATCCTGGTGGTGATGGATTTTGCCAACCGCTACCCGGGGTGGGGATCTGCCCTCCGCGAGGCAGACGTGCTGCTGACCATCTTCAGCAAAGTGGGGGTCCCCAGCAAGGTCCTTACAGACCAGGGGTCAAATTTCATGTCAGCCTGGCTCCGAGGCTTGTGGGAGAAATGTGGGGTCTGGCCCTGGACCTCTGCATATCACCCTCAGTCCAGCGGGCTGGTGAAGAGGATCAGAGATTGGCCCGTTCTCCAGACCAAGAAACAGGTCCAGGCCTTTATCAGGATGGCGGGGTACTACTGGGGGTTTGTACCCCACTTCAGCTCCTTAGCTACTCCCATCACCAAGCTATGTAAGAAGGGGAAGCCAGACGAGGTGGTCTGGACCGAGCAGTGCCAGAGGGTTCTCTGTGCGCTGAAGGAGGCTCTAATCCAGGGCCTGGTAAATCTGGTAAACCCGGACAGTGCCAAGCCCTTTGCAGTGTTCACCGATGCCTCAGACGCAGGGCTGGGCGCTGTGCTGATGCAGGCCGATGCTAAGGGGGGAGACACCCCATTGGGTGCCCAAGCAAGAAGCTGCTGCCCCAGGAGCAGAACTACATGGCCATGAAGAAGTAATGCCTGGCCATGGGGCAGGCCCTTAAAAAGCTGTGTATACTGACCCCTCTGCCCTGACGTGGCTGCATCCAATGAAAGGGGCTGATGCTGAGCGGCGGGTGACAGAGAGACCTGGTCAGAGGGTGGCCAAGGTCAAGATGGGGGCTCTTAACCAAGAGAGCCCGAATCACACCCTTCCAAACTGGAGCCCTGGGAGAAGACCCGATCTCAGTTTGAACCACAGGGGTATTGGGGTGGAAAAAGGGCACGGGCATCAAGCACACCCAGCCCAAGGAAGGGCGTAAAACTGGAACGGCCTGGTGTAACTCCCACCAAGGAACGGGAGAGATGCTGGGGCATCCATGGGAATGTTGGTGGGTTCAAACTTCCCCAGGTCACCGGCTAAAGTGACCTCACTCAGTTTGGTCTCGAAGGGGGGAGAGATGTGACGAAGTGGGAATGTTCTTAATGTTTTCTCTGAATACTGTGTGGGTGCCTCAGTTTCCCCTATGCAGTTCTTAAGTCTGTAGGTGGTGGGATAAGGGGGTGTAATTGTTGCAGAGCAAAGGGCCAGTGTACATAAATGGCCGACACTCTGTCTCCTGGCAACTGATGGTCTGGGCCCTTCCCCCCTGC